GCTCCCCCGTCTTGTGCTCTTTCTCTCTCTCACTCTCTCTCTCAAATAAATAAATAAAATCTTTAAAAAAATAAATAAATAAATAAATAAAGATAAATTTTAGTATTCCCCACTGACTTACTCAGTAGCATAGCACGGATTTTGATCCTTTTTTTTTTTCTAATTTCTGTTAACATTTTGATCATGTTGTCATTTCCCAATTTGAAATATCTTCATGTAACAAGCTTTGCCTCAAAGACTGGAGAAAACCAATAAAAAGTACAAGCTTTCTTGGAAACATAATTGAAAACCTCCTTAGTTACTTGATTTTTTTTTTTTTTTTTAAACCTTGAAGCGTTCTGTACTAGCTGGGGGATGTTATGAAAGTTATTTAACTTCTAAGCATCATTTTCCTTACGTACAAAATAAAAGTGGTAATAGTATGTATGTCATAGTGTCATATGGGTTGAACGAGATGATGCATGTAAAAAATTCAGGGAAGTATTTGGCATCTACTAAGTTCTCTCCAGGTTATTTGAATTACTGCATAAGTGCCAATTGATTAACCCATCTACCATGCCATACATTTTATTTTCTGTCTCAGTCTAACTATAGTGTTGTGTATTTCAGTGGAAAATGATCAGCACTAATGGAGAAGGAACACAAGTGCCTATTTGAACACTGAGATCATTAGTAGATAGATTATTGTAACATGAAAATTGGCACAATTATAAGCACAGTGCCTGGCACACTGGACTCTCAGTAAATATTTGTTGTATGCAAAGAGAAATAAGAACTTGTGTAATAAAAATGTCTTTCAGTCTTTAAAGTAGATTTGTGTACAGGAATCTCATTTGTCATTTAAATTATATGCTTTGAGATTAATTGACTTCTGTATATCTAGAAATAAGGTTTTAAAAAATTTGGTTTAGGGGTGCCTGGGTGGCTCAGTCAGTTAAGCGACTGCCTTCCAGCTCAGGTCATGATCCCAGGGTCCTGGGATCAAACCCCATGTTGGGCTCTCTGCTCAGCAGGAGAATCTGCTTCTCCCTTTCCCTCTGCTCCTGACCCCGGTTGTGCTTTCTCGCTCTCACTCACTCTCAAATAAAGTCTTTAAAACAAAACAAAAAAAAAAAATTTTTTTTTTTTTTGGAACTGTAAAATATATGACATTTGGTATTCATTCATTCAACGTTAATTATGTTTCCAGAGACTGTTTGCTACTTCCTACTCTCATTCACTCAGAAATACTTGTTTCTTCATTTATAAGATAAAGTTAAGACATCTCTGAAGGTTTTTGGCAGATTACAATAGACATTAGTCTTTCTGCATTCTTCTGCTTTCACTGTCAGTGTTCTTCAGTGGAAACCTTTCCATACAAAGCTTTGCTCATGCTGCCCACCTCTCCTGCTAAGCTCTTATCACCTAAAACTAAAAGTTTTCCTATT